GCCAAGCTGGTCTTGAACTCCTGGCCTTAGACTGCCCGCCTCGGCCTCCCAGTGTGCTGGGATTACAGGCATGAGCCACTGCGCCCAGCCAAATGCCACTGTTTTGAGGAGAAACATGCTGAAATATTTATAAGACCCATAGGCTGGGCGCGGTGGCTCACTCCTGTAATCCCAGTCCTTTGGGAGGCCAAGGTGGGCAGATCACCAGGTCAGGAGATCGAGACCATCCTGGCCAACATGGCAAAACCCCATCTCTACTAAAAATACAAAAATTAGCAGGGTATGGTGGCACATGCCTGTAGTCCCAGCTACTCAGGAGGCTGAGGCAGGAGAATCACTTGAACCCGGGAGGCGGAGGTTGCAGCGAGCCAAGATCCTGACACTGCACTCCAGCCTAGCAACAGAGCGAGACTCCATCTCAAAAACAAACAAAAAAACTCACAATGTCTGCAAGTAACTTGCATGGCTTGGCAAAATATGTGTGTGTGAAAGAAAAAAATTTGGCAAATGTTAACATCAGGTAAAATGTAACATTAATAATTTTTTCACATTAATTCATTTAACAAAACTTTGGAAAGCAGATATCAACTACCTACTGCTAAGAATGAGCAGGAGGTAGTTTCAAAAGAAAAGTAAGACTTTAGAAGAGTGGGAAAAGGTCTGTAGATCTGAAATGATTTTAGGGGAGCTGAGGAAACCTGGGTGGGTGCAGGTCCTACGCAGCGCTGAAAGCCTAACTGAAGTTGGAGACAAAATAGTGGTTCACCACATTTACAGCCTCCTAGCCACTGGCCTAGAATTTCACAATGCTGGAAGCTATTAACTAAGGACTGCCTTTCATGGAAATTTATAAAAATTTTCATGGTAACCAGTCTTCTTACTGAATATATTCAGACACAGCTTATACTTTTTATACAAAATAATTTTCTCCTAAAACCTTTTTTAATGAAAATTTTATACCAACCTAAAACTTGTATTCAGTTTTTAACATCTTGATTTTGCAAAAGAGGTGGTCTGTATTCAAAGAAACCCAATGCTGCTTCTGAGGTAAACTTGTAAGACAAGTAGCTGAGAGAGACCAGATACTTTTAAATACTTTATGGTAGGGCAGGAAGTATTGACTCATGATGCCCCTTGTTAACGGGAGAAAAAGAATTACAAGGAAAGGATATAACAAAATGATTCTTTGGTCTTATTTTTTCTTCCATAAACTAATGCAGAGAAACAGAATTGAGTCTCCCAAACTCTTGAGAGATGACCCCAAAGGGTCATAAATATAACCACAGGCCCAAAATGTACAATACCTACAAACTTGGGGTCCCCCAATTTCTTACCTCTTTTGGGAGGAAAGTACATAGTAATAAATAATGAAAATCAGTTTTCCTTTTTTAGAAGGGTAACCTCTACCAGTACTAAATAAGAGAAAGCTAGTATAACAAAAGAAAAGCTTTAACTCTACCTTATTTATAGAGTAGGCAAGCAAACCCAAAACGTTCTGTACATTTGAACCAGCTGAATGTTCCCATCTAATATCAAGGCCAGTGCATACTGAAGATTTGAAATGAAAACTGATTTCTATAATCTATAACTCATTTCTGTAATGTATAACTGTCCTCTCTTTCACATTCCTTAAGATGCCTGTTCACTACTTCTTTCAAGACTCCTTGCTACTGGAAGAGAAGAACTGGTGTAAGGCATTGAAAAGATTAAAGAAAAGGGCCAAATTCAAAAGAACTCTTTCCAAATTTCAATCGGTCCTTTGAATATTTTGATACAGAGTTTTGATAGCAGTTAAAAGACTGGACAGCAGTTCTGCCTTCTTATATCTAAAATCTACAACAATTTGAATTCACTAACAAGAAAACTCTTTCTTGTCTTTCACCTTATTTTTATGTATCTAGATACAGATATATAAATACAGATCTATATCTATATATACTATTTCAACTGTAAAATTCTTTTTGTAGTAAGATAAATTCTCAAACTGCTAAAGTAGAAGATCATATTCTAAAAGCAGGTAAATATAATCTCTTACCTTCCCAGAAAGAAGTAAACTCTGTCAGCTTCTTTGTGGATCAAAATCAGAAGACCAAGAGGAACCAGGTTCCAATTTCTTTTCAACTAAAATACTTTTAGACTTGCTTTTATTCCTCTCTGTTCTGAGCCTTGTGAGAAAACTGCACAGTAAGCTTCTTGTGTCTAATCTCTACAGTGTCTACTCCAATCTCAGCCCTTTGTGGCCTATTCAGGAAGGCAGGAACAACCTCTAAAGTAAATCAACAAGAAGCCATAATTAAAGAAGGCATCACACTGACCTCTCTGCACATTAAACACCAGAAGACCATGGAGTAATGTTACTGAACTGAGAAACAACTTAGAAAAACATTTCTATTTACAGAGACTTGGAAAATATATCACTCATGTTACCACTTGGGAAAATATTCTCAAAAGACATGCTTCATTCAAATAAAAAGCGAATTGAAATAAAGAAACCAGACCCAAGAGGTCTAATTCTATGAAAAGTCTGAGCTTCAGGGCAAGCTCAAACTCTTCAAAAATGAGGACAATTGACAGTAGCTTATCTGGTGATTAATAGCAGCAATTTAATGTAATGAGAAAAGCCAATTATTATAAAGTTCATATCTTTCTTCATAAAGTAATACCAATAAAAACAATTTTTTTAAGAGTTCTGTTCATACTAATAACATATATGCCACATAGAATTTTTATAGATAAAAGGCATGTGATGAAATGGATGCCATCTTCTTTCAATCTGCTAGTCAAATTACAGGAATTTAGTTACCATTAGATGACACTGTAACCAAACTACAAAATTAGTATCTAAGAAAAAGTACAGACAGCCCTCCTTTTAAAAAATACCTCACCACTTTTCAGGTACAGGTTTTTAATTAATACTTACTATTTTACCCATATATTATTATGTGCACCAAAATACCACCTGGAAATAGTTAAGGAGGCAGCAGAGAAGCAAGAGTTGAGGTAATTTCAGGTAGCTGGAATTAACAAAAAAACCTAGGCTAGTATATTACTAACCTATAACTCTGTCCTCCATTTCACACCTTGTAAAATGCCTTTTCACTACTTTATCTTTCAAGGTTCTCCTTGCTACTAGAAGAGAGGAAGGACTGGTGTGGGGCATTGAAAAGATTAAAGGGACAAATTCAAAAGAACTCTTTTCAAATCCTCTCAATACAGCAGTGGTTACTTTTGGGAAGGTTCTTTAATGAAAATGCTCTTACATGGCATAGCTGGCTACAGGAAACCTCTACAAAGCCATGAAAGTGTGCCTTACCTTGTGATTTAGGGATTGCTAAGTAACTATATAAAAAGATGTATATAACGATGTTGATCACGGAGTTGCTTGCTAAACTTTGTCAAATAGTGCTTCCATTTTTATTTTAAAAAATTTTAAGGGTCTTACCACAGAAAAGAACAGGAAGAGTAAAAAACGTGTTGCTGATGACTGTCTCTGAGCAGGAAAATCAGAGTTCTTTCTTTGTAAATCTCTAACTTTTCTGCACTAATTGAATTACAATTGTAATGACAAAGGAAAAACAAATCCTCACAGTGACAAGGATTACAACAACTTGTGTTCCTCACAACAAGGAAGGCTTACATTCAATTTTTGGTTTTGCTTTTTTGTGTTTAAGATATCTGAGTTATCTTATTCACCCTCCAAAACCACTTCTGAATCCTAAAAACAAAAGCAAAATTATATGGTAGGACTTTTTTTTTTAGATGGAGTCTCACTCTGTCACCCAGGCTGGAGTGCAGTGGCAGGGTCTTGGCTCACTGCAACCTCCGCCTCCTGGGTTCAAGTGATTCTCCTGCCTCAGCTTCCTGAGTAGCTGGGACTACAGGCACGTACCACCACGCCCAACTAATTCTGTATTTTTTAATAGAGATGGGGTTTCACCACGTTGGTCAGGATGGTCTCGATCTCTTGACCTCATGATCTGCCTGCCTTGGCTCCCAAAGTGCTGGGATTACAGGTGTGCACCACCACACCCGGCCGCAGGACATTCATTTTAAGTGAATTAATTTAGTATATATAAAAAACCCAATATATACACAAAATGTGTTATCTCTACACACTGTACACTACAGTGGGACTCCGCATAATTACTGCATGAAGAACATTTATGTTTACTTTTTTGAGACTTTTAGCGGTTCTGAGATAGAGCAGAAAGTGACCTCTGTGATCCTAGAGCACTGCATGTTCATCACTCTCACAGTACCTAGCACATTTGGACAATTTTAAGTTTCTCTCCTGACAAACACTGACTCCAGCATTTATGTTAACACAGTGCCTGGCACACTGTTGACACTTTGGATGCATTGACGGATGAAAAGATAGAATTAACAGACGTACATACATGGCTGGATAACAGGGACAAATTAATGCAGAGAGAGATGGACAAGGGAAAGCATACAGAGACAGACACATGGATAGAGAAATGACTACTTCATGAAGACTTTCAGTCAAAAAAGCCCGGTTCCAGTCCCAACTTTGCCAATAACTATGTAACAAGTCACCCCATCTTTCTGGGTCTTTTGGTCATATGTAAAATAAAAGTGTCTTCTAGCTGCTGAATTAGAGGACCAAGACTTAGGGCATGGCTTTTCATTTTAAGCTCGTAGTTTGTTGGTGGGTGTTTTTTATAATACTGTTGATCATACTTAAGATTTAATTGATGCCAAATCCTTGACAGTGATACCGCTTCTGATACTCATATTGTTCCTAATAAAAACACGATTCACTTTAAGATGATGACATACATCTTTTCAGAAATGTAGTACTGTGAGGTTTGAACTGAGTGCCTTAAAGACCAACATACTGAGGGCAAACTTAAGTCATTATCATCCTCTAAAAATCACATTCCAATCTATTGGTGACATTAAACAGGAAGAATCTAGCTAAAGGCTTTTTGAGAAATGGTCAAACACAATCCTTCATGATATAAAATGTGGCCATTTACCTTTTACTTTTTTATCAAATTTCTTCTGTTTCATTTTTTCTCGGTTTTCCTGTCGGACTTCTTTTGCTTCTTCTAATGCTTCTTGACTACCCCAAACTTCAAGAGACCTCTTCACAATCTACAACACAAAATCCATATTTAAATGAGTTGGGATTCAGACTTGCAAAATATTATAAAGTTATAATCATTGAATCCACAGGTACCAAAGAATTATCTAAGTATAAATTAATAACTATTTACTAGAAATTTAAAGATTTAAAATAGTAATGATCAGAAACAGGTCTAATAAAACATCTATCTAAACCTATAAAACTCTCAGTAAACGTATGCTGAATTACATTATAAATAGAAAAGTTGTCCTCTGACTGTATTGTCACAGGAATCAAAAGTACTTGTGGTCAGTGAGTTTCACCAACCGTGGCAGGCTCACCAAAGAAACAGTTTGTTGACAGATTAGCCACATCAGACCTAAATATGAGGTAATCTCCAACCACAGGAAATTACCAATTACTCCTCATCTCCTTCAAGATCAATAATTGTTTCTATCAACTTATGATCTGCAGGATAGCTATTTTAATTTTGGTACCAAAATGATGTAAAAAGTCTTCATTCTACTTTTAAAACTTTACATTATATACCTTTACTCTTTATAATATTTACTTACATTTTAAGAGAATAATTTACACACTAAGAATTATGCCCAGGGTACCTCTCACAATGTTAAAAGGACCATAATATTAATCAATTAATAATTAATTAATCAAATTTCTTAACATCAAGTGCTATACTTGTATTTCACAGATTCTGGGACATCACGTTTTCCATAATTTAACATCCCTGAAAATGTTGCATCACCAAAGTACTTAAAAATTCTGAGTCCAAAAGTGGTGCAGAAAAGTTGGACTCAATGTAAAGAAGTTTAGGAATACCTTAAGTCTTTTGCACTTGCATTTTCCCTTTTACGTATGCAAAGTTGTGATATATGACAAAAAACTCTAATATAAAGTAATGGCACGATTTCACTAAGTATAAAATAAAAGCATCAAGTGATAGATAAGAAGGCATATGTTGATTTAATTAGTAGCATTTAAAAATAATGGTACATAAAACAATAGTGAATTTTCTAATCAACAGAATCATTAATATTTAATGAAATTCAGTATATGTTTTGTTTTATAATATAGCTTCTTAATTTTATTTGGAGATATGGGATTTTCTAGTATGGCATGTATTCAAACTGTGCTCTAAAGCAATGCCTCCCAATGTTTCAAGCTAACAGCATAAACAGGATATTACAATATTTGTATTACTCTGGGGTCGATACAAGAAGCTGCTTGTGACCCAGGGAAACTGGCCTGGGCATTAGCAGCCCTAGCCACTTAAGTTATCACCATGTTGGCCTACCTGTAACCCATCTGCAGCAAGCAGAGTTGAGAAGATCTGCTCTGAGACTACAGAGTTACATGGTCACTCGCTAGCATTCCAGAAGGGCATTTCCTGAATTAGAATTAGATTTTAGGTATTTGTGAAATGCCTGAAATTTTTTTTTAATATTTCTTTTTTGGTGGGCAATGGAGGTGAAAGGGGGTAAGGAAACAAGGCATGACTCCCATTCCAACCTTTTTTAGTTTCCAAATTGTACTCTTAACATCACCCAATAGCAACATGTTTATTTCAAAGTGCCATATAAGAAGCAAAATGAGGCCGGGCATGGCACATCACTGACGCCTGTAATCCCAGCACTTTGGAAGGCCAAGGCAGGAGGATCACTTGAGCCCTGGAGTTCGAGACCAGCCTGGGCAATATGGCAAAACCCCATCTCTACAATAAATACCAAAAACTAGCCAGGTATGGTGCCGTGTGCCTGTAATCCAAGCTACTCAGGAGGCTGAGCCAGGAGGATTACCTGAGCCTGAGAGGTCAAGGCTGCAGTGAGCTATGATCTCACTCCAGCCTGAGTGACAGAGTAAGACCTTTGACAAAAAAAAAAAAAAAAAAAAAAAATATATATATATAATATATATATATATATAGCATACCTGTGACAGTCATGCATAATGACATTTAGTACCATGTTTTCTCATTCACTTTTCAAATAAAATTTGAAATAAAATTTTTGCAAAAGCAAAATGAGAAAACATGTTAGTAAATGTCATTATGCATGACTGTCACACACATGCAAAACTAGGGAGTTTTTTCATATTCTGTAAGCAAAAACCAAACTAATTATAACTAGTTTGTTAAAACTTTACCAGAGTTAAAATTAATAAATACAACTTATTAGAGACCTGTAACTTTAAGTAGAGTTTCATATCACCCCATTGTGAATGATGAGGATTCTTCTTCACAATAAATTTAAGAGCTGGCTCTCTTTTTTCTAAATCACAGTCTTTCAGAAGATATTCTTGTTTTGCCTCTGTTTTGGTGATAAGCTTGTGTTTATCATCAGCATCTCTGAAAACAGATTAAGTTCATTATATAAGTTAGTTATTTTAAATAAATTGCAAATTGCCCAGCAACTTAGGGGCACTCACAGCAAAAAAGCACATAAATAATACATTTTCCTGCAACTCTCATGGTTAAATTAGCAACACAGGAATTCTAACAGAAAAAATACTTTATCTTTTACTTATTCTAATAAATTATATTATCTAGAGAAGAAACATTCCTAGCAAAGGCTGTAGGACAGGGGTGTACTTTGCAAATGGAGTGCACAGCAAGGGACCAGTGTAACTAGAAGACCTGAAGTGATGGTGAGGAGTGGTGGGAGATACAGTCAAGAGACAGTCGGCCTTGCAAGCAATGGTGAAGAAAATTTTATTCTAAATGGGATTAGAAACCAAGTTTTGAACAAAATACTGTATGAAGAGGAGACCCTAGGGGTACAAAAGGGATAGTTAGGGAGAGACCAGTTACAACACTACTGCAGTGGTCCAAGCAAGAGCTGACGGTGGCCTAGGCTAAGGCAGCAGTGGGAGAGGAGGAAATGTAGATGGATTCAGCATATGGTTTGAGCATAGAGCCAAACAGGTTTGGAATTAATACACACAAGAGAGTGGAGACATAGCCAGTGAATGAAGCTGCCTTTACTGAAATGGTAAACACTAAAGAGCAGGTACAGGTCAGGGAGGGGAGAAATCAAAGGTTCTATCAGAGGATTCTGTCACAAAACCATAAAAGTTAAAACTAGGAATAGCTGTATGAAAGCTAACTAATGGGAGACATGCAGGCTGTACTGTACTATAACTATAATCTTTGATGATGTAGAAAAAGAATGGAGGACTATGTTCCTGATAATAATTAAACATAAAAGTGTAATGTTTCCAGACTTTTCAAGGTGTTGGCAGAGACTGCGTTCCTTTCTGGAGGCACTAGGTAAGAATCCATCTCCTTGCCTCTTCTAGCTTCTAGAGGCCACCTGCATTCCTTAACTTATGACGCCCTCCTTCCACTTTCACAGCCAGTGATGGTGCCTTCTCATATTGCATCACTCACTTCTTCCATAACTGAATGTCCCTCAGACCCTCAGCTCTCCTCTTCCACTTTTAAGAAAGCTCATGTGCTTGTATTGGGTCTACCTGGATAACCCAGGATAATCTCCCCATCTTGAGGTCTTTAACATTAATCATATCTGCAAAGTCCATTTTGCTATGGCAAGGTAATATATTCACAACTTTCTTTAAACTGGTACAACGGCTGCTTCCATTTTATCTTGGAAATAAATTATATGGAGTGTTTCAGTTCCCAAAAGCCATACTGGCTTTAAGGAGAATGATGACAAGACTATGGACCTTAACCACTGTGTCAGTGGGAAATGAGTTTGTCATCTATAGTTCGAGCTGCGGTGCCAGAACATTCCCAGCCATATATTTGATCATGAGGCCAGGGACCACAACTCCCTCTCTATCTACTCAAGATTCCACTCCGCAACAAGCCAATCATGATGGCTCCCAATGTCTGCAGAAGGGACTTTGAAAGGGTAGGTCCTTCAGGCAGGTGAGGAGTTGAAGGCTGTAGGGACAAAGGAAGAACAGGGAACAAGTAAGAGTGCCAACTAAGATTCCAAGGTAGGGCCTTCAGTGTGCAAGACATCCACAGCATTTGGCTGAGTAACGAGTAGCGATAGGAGAACCGTGTGAACTGAGAAAGGTTATTGCGGATGATATAAAAAGAGGATACAAGTCTAAAAGAAAAAAAGAAGGGAAGAATATTATTTTTCCTCATCTATTTATGAGGGTAGCAAAAGACAAATGAGAAAAGGTATGAGCTACTGTCCTCTCACTGAAGGCCCCAGTCCTCTCACCCAGGTGTAAACACACCCTGGAATAAAGAAATAGAGGGATCATTAGGGCTGGGAGAAGAGAAGCATTAGGAGTCTGCCACTGAGAGATGTTTAAAAACAAAAACAAAAAAACTCAGGCCACCAGAAAGGAAAAGGAAATTTATATGGCAGAACCACTGGCATCCTTCCTATTTTATGGGGTATATCATAAGCTTTAATAAGCACAGATGTGTATTTTGCAAAATAGAAACCAAAGAAATTTTAGGAAACGCCCAAAATAAAAATCGTAATTATTAAGAAAATATCATATCCAGAGATAAAACTTGTTTTGTCCTAAACCTACATATAAACATTGGCAATTAACACCATCTAAAATAAGTACCTGCAGTTATCACAAGTTGGCAAATCGAAGTGGTTCATAAGATAAGAATCCATAAATTCTTTCCCACATTCTTCACATATTACATAATCAAATTCCATCACAGGTCCTAAGAAAAGGAAAATGAACTCTTTAAGTTTCCTTTTTTATGACTAGAACAATATATTCTCCTCTATCTTATTAGCTTATCAGCATGTATGTTATGCCTAACATAAATATATTGAAGTAAAAGACCAAATAAGACCTTGATTATGTTTATCTATAAAAGTAATTTAAGAGGAAAAAGAAAAGGAAGTAACATAAAAAACCTAGCAATTCAACAAATATTTCTGAATCCCAGCCATGTGCAACGTACTTGTATTAGTGTTAACACTGCAGCTATAAGAAACTACCATTGACTGAGTGGCTTAAAAACACGCATTTATTATCACACAGATCTCTAGATTATTCTGACATGGGTCTCAGTGGGCTAAAATCAAGGTGTTGGCAGAGCTGCATTCCTTTCTGGAAGATCTAGGCAAGAATCCATCTGCTTGCCTTTTCCAGCTTGTAGAGGCTGCCTGCATTCCTTGACTCATGACCCCTTCCTCCATCTTCACAGCCAGCAGTGATGGCTTCTCGCATTGCAGAACTCACTTCTTCCATAATACATGTCCCTCTGACCCTCAGCTTTCCTCTACTGCTTTTTTTTTTTTTTTTTTTTTTTTTTGAGATGGAGTCTTGCTCTGTTACACAGGCTGGAATGCAGTGATGTGATCTCGGCTCACTGCAACCTCTGCCTCCCCCACCTCCTGGATTCAAGTGATTCTCCTGCCTCAGCCTCCCAAGTAGCTGAGATTACAGGTGTGCACCACCATGCCTAATTTTGGGGTTGGGGGGTGGGGTTTGGCTTGCTCTCTCACCCAGGCTGGAGTGCAGTGGTGCGATCTTGGCTCACTGCAACCTCCACCTCCCAGGTTCAAGTGATTCTCCTGCCTTTGCCTCCTGAGTAGCTGGGATTACCAGCACACACCACCACACCAGGCTAATTTTTGTGTTTTTAGTAGAGATGGGGTTTCGCCATGTTGGCCAGGTTGGTCTTGAACTCCTGACCTCATGTGGTCCACCCGCCTTGGTCTACTGAAGTGCTGGGATTACAGGCATGAGCTACCTCGCCTGGCCCCTCTTCCACTTCTAAGGAAACTTCTGTGTACATTGGGTCTACCTGGATAACCCAGGATAATCTCCCCATCTCAAGGTCTTTAACCTTAATCATATCTGCAAAGTCCTTTTTGCTATGATCAGGATAATATATTTATAGGTTCCAGGGTAATTAAGGCATTGACATCCCTGGGGGCCATTATTCTGCCTACCACAGCACTGTTGAAAGTACAAAAGAGATTAGTCCCAGAGTGGTAGGGTGAAAAGGGATCTGCTTTCAGAGAGGGCACCAACATCACATGGGAAAGAGCAATAATGAGCATGGTAATAGTCAACAGAATTCACTTCCAAATGGAAAAATTTTTTTCTCCTTCATTCTACCCCCTACCAACAAAGCAAACAGCTTTTCTTTATCTGTCTTACCTACTGGACTATAAACTCCTTGAAGGGAGAGACTGTATTCAGCCATGTATCCTCAACTCCCAGCACAGAAAAACCACTCTAGGTAAGGTAAAGCTAGGTTATTTAAGGACTTCAAATGCCTAGCTTAAGGAACTTAATCCTTTAAGAATTGTTTCTCCTAGTACTTTTATAAATTTTACTAGTAAGGCTGGGCACAGTGACTCACTCCTCTAATCCCAGCACTTTGGGAGGCCAAGGTGGGTGGATCACTTGAGTCCAGGAGTTCAAGACCAGCCTGGCCATCATGGCAAAACCCTGTCTCTACAAAAAATACAAAAATTAGCCAGGCATCAATTAGCTGAGCATGGTGGTGGGCGCCTATAATCCCAGCTAGTCAGGAGGCTGAAGTAGGAGAATCATTTGTAGCTGGGAGGCAGAGGTTGCAGCGAGCCAAGATTGTGCCACTGTACTACAGCCTGGGCAACATGAGCAAAACTCCATCTCAAAAAAAAAAAAAAAAGCAAGAAAAAGAAAAGGGAAGTTGTCATTTATTAACTGTTTATCTCAAAATATTCCTATCACTGCCTTCCCTTACCTCCTTCTAACACACTAATCTCCAAACTTTTAAAAAAAATTTTTTTTTGTAGAATATTAGAGGAGCATAGCTATAGACAAAAGGAAAAACTAAAAATTTTGGAACAGGCCTAGTGATAGTCAAAGTGGTATCTTTGAAAAAATTACCAGGATGCGTTAGAATGAAGAGAAACTGTGGTAGAAATACCAGTTAGGAAGCCACTACATCATTAATCAAAACATACAATGTACAGTTTTCTAATTTAAAACATTCTTTATAATGGGAATTCCTAAATAAACACAATGATGATTTTCAAACTCTGTCATTCCCTTTTACATTTACCACTGAGAAACTGGCAATCTATCATAAGCAAGAGTTGCGTAATTATTTCATTATATATTACAGTGTAATAATAATGGAAATAAAGTACACAATAAAACGTAATGTGCTTGAATCATCCTGAAACCATACCTGCCACCCCTCCACCCCACCCCAGGTTTTGTCTTCCATGAAACCAGTCCCTGGTGCAAATAAAAACAAACATTTTAATCCTTCAAGTCTCAGCTTCTGCACACACAGATTAGAGCAGGGCAACTACCTACATGGATGCACAACACTTTCGTAGCTGCGACTAGAGACTAGAATGGGGTTTTGTGGTTTTTTTAAGCTGTTATATTGCACTGTTGGCTGCCAAACTTATGAACAAATAAAGCATTTCTGTTTTCTTCCCAAAGAGTATGAAAGTATCCTCACTGTGAAGGTATGTATACATATAAGTGACTTACCAAAGCACTAACCTTAGATCATAGTTATAGCTTTCTTTTTATGCTGGTCTATCTTATACTTTGTAATCTGCTTTCTTTCTCCACAGATAAATAAAAGAATGTCCTAAACGTTATCTCTTAATTCTGGTGCCTCATTTCGTCCTATCAGATGAGTATTTATATATACTCAAAAAAATAATTGAGTATTTATTCTATCAATCAATATACTGGCTAACCCTGCCTGTTATAAAACAACAGAGAGCATCAACCCCTAAGTACCTCAGCCGCAAGTTAAATAATCATTTCCACATGCATGGCTGTTTCTTTGATTTTTTTTTTAACTCTACCAGCAAAACTGCCAAACTTTATCCCTTTTATAATGTACTCCAATTAACGTACGGCATTTATTTAGCATCAGTTTGCATAGAATTATGCATGTTACTCAAAATAACCAATCTAGATGCTTATTTTTGAAAAACTCACTTTACCTGGCTGATGAACAACTTTTCCAATTTTTTGTTCTTCTTCTTCCTCTTCTAAAATGAAGCCTCCTCCTGTGTCAATTATCTTTGGGGCAGCTTTTACATTAGCCATCCCTAGGAAAGTAAGCGAAAGTAGTCAACAATTAAAGTAGTAGGTAAGTCCATATGTTCCCTTGTGCATAAACGGCAAATTCCTTTAAATTCAATGTATCTCAAACATAAAGATGTCCACAATAATTACTTCTACTCAACATTATACTGAAGGTCCCAGCTAGTGCAACAAAGCTAGAAAACCAAAAAGGCACAAAGGATGAAAAGAAAAAAGTAAAACAGGATCCATTCACAGCTGATGTGATTATGTATGTAAAATAGCCACAGGAATCTACAATTAGAATTAAGAAATAAAAACCTAGGAAAAGATGTGTAAAATCTCTGCACTGAAAACTACAAAACACTAAGAGAAATCAAAGAGGACTTAAATAACTGGAGAAATAGGCCAGGCACGGTGGCTCACGCCTGTACTGCCAGCACTTTAGGAGGCCAAGATGGGTAGATCACCTGAGGAGGTCAGGAGTTCAAGACCAGCCTGGTCAACATGGTGAAACGACATCACTACTAAAATATAAAAAAATTAGCCAGGCGTGGTGGCGGAGGCCTGTAATCTCAACTACTTGGGAGGCTGAGGCAGGAGAATTGCTTGAACCCAGGAAAAGGAGCCAAGATCACACCACTGTGCTCCAGCCTGGGCAACAGAGCAAAACGCCGTCTCAAAATAAATAAAGGGAGAAATAGACTATGTATGGATTTTAAACCTCAATATTATAATGTCAGTTCTTCACAAATTTATCTAAAGATTCAAGGTTATCTCAGCCAGAACCCCAGCAGTGGGGTGTGTTATGTTGTGTTATGTGTGTGTGCACACGCACACACCTGGAAATTTCCATTTCATATTTTGGGCATGGTAGATGGTGGGTAACTAAAGCCACAGAAAGTGAAACCGTGGATAAGGGAGGACTAAAGTGTGCATGTCTGACAAAGGACTCACATTCAGAATACATAATCAAATCCTCTAAATCAGTAAAAGACAAATAACCCAACTTTCCTAAAAATAGGCAAAGGATCTGAATAGGCACTTCACAAATGAGGATATCCAAATGGCCAAAAGCACAAAAAAGGGTTCTCATTATCTCTAATCATTGGGAAAATACAAATTAAAATCATAATGAAGTATCATTAGACTCTCACCAGAATGTCCGAGATGAAAAAGACTGACAATACCGAGCGAGAGGATGTGGAGCAACCAGAACTGCCATGCACTGCTGGTGAGATTGGAAACTGATAGAACCAGTTTGGCAATATCTATTAAAGCTTAACGTAACTACACCTCTCCTATGACCCAGCAAGTCCATCTCCAGGCATATACACAATAGAAGTGAGTGTGAATGTCCACTAAAAGACATAAACAAGAGGCCAACAAACATGAAGAAATGCTCATCATCACTGGTCATTAGAAAAATGCAAATCAAAACTACATTGAGATACCACCTCACACCAGTTAGAATGGTGATCATTAAAAAATCTGGAGACAAGAGATGCTGGAGAGGATGTGGAGAAGTAGGAACAGTTTTACACTGTTGGTGGGAGTGTAAATTAGTTCAACCATTGTGGAAGACAGTGTGGCGATTCCTCAAGGACCTAAACATAGAAATTCCATTTGACCCAGCAATACCATTACTGGTATATATCCCAAGGATTATAAATCGTTCTACTATGAGGACACATGCACACGATGTTCACTGCAGCAATGTTTACAATAGCAAAGACCTGGAACCAACCCAAATGCCCATCGATGATAGACTGGACAGGGAAAATGTGACACATATACACCATGAAATACTATGCAGCCATAAAAAACAATGAGTTCGTGTCCTTTGTAGGGACATGGATGAACCTGGAAACCATCATTCTCAGCAAACTAACACAAGAACAGAAAATCAAACACCGCATGTTCTCACTCATAGGCAGGTGTTGAACAATGAGAACACATGGACACAGGGAGGGGGGCATCACACACTGAAGTCTGTCGGGGGAAATAGGGGAGGGACAGCAGGGGGTGGGGAATGGGGGACAGATAGCATGGGGAGAAATGCCAGATATAGGTGATGGGGAGGAAGGCTCATCACACTGCCATGCGTGTACCTAGGCAACAATCTTGCATGTTCTTCACATATACCCCAAAACCTAAAATGCAACTTAAAAAAAAGTAGAAAAAACAAACAAAAACAAAGACATAAACAAGAATGTTTACAGAGGTTTTATTCATAACACCCCCAAAGTGGAAACTACCCAAATATCCACCAAAAGGAAAATGGAAAAATTGTGGCATAATACAAAAGAAACTATACAACATATAAATGCACACACTACCAATGCAACAAAATGTGTGAATCTCTCAGTTACTACGTTGCACAAAAAGTCAGACACTATATGACTCAATGTACATGAACTTCGGAAATAGGTAATACCAATCAAATGGTCACAAGAGTATTACTTCGAGAATGGAGAGTGGACACTGACTAGGAAGGAGCCACAGGAAAACTTTTAAGGTTCTGCAAGTGTACCTATCTTGATCACTATGGTGTTTACACAACCATTTACATAGGTAAAATTCAGATGAGTACATTTTACAGTATGTTACGCCTCCATTTTTTTATTACTACCTTTTTTTTTTTTTTTATCTCAAGACAGTCTTGCTCTGTTGCCCAGGCTAGAGTGCTGTGGCTTTCGGCTCACTGCAACCTCTGCCTCCCAGGTTCAAGCGATTCTCCTGCCTCAGACTTCCAAGTAGCTGGGATTATAGGTGCCCACCACTGTGCCTGGCTAATTTTTGTATTTTTAGTAGAGACAGGGTATAACCATCTTGGCCAGGCTGATCTCGAACTCCTGATCTCATGATCCACCCGCCTCGGTCTCCCAAAGTGCTGGGATTACAGGCATGAGCCACCGTGCCCGGCCCACTTTTTTAAAAAAGACAAACAATACGTTTTATTCTGCTAAAGTCACTCTCCTTCTCTGGCCTCAATTTCTCCCCCTATTAAATGAAAGGATTAGATTATAAGCCTGTTTCCACTGTTAATAGCAATTCTCACACTATAACACCTGTTTGTATCTCTGAATCCCTTCATTAGACCGAGTGCCTTTACCTGTGTAATTCTGAGTAAACATTCCATGCGTACCGACTGGATGGATAGAAATGAATGAACATACCAGAATATGTAATATAAAAAGCAAAGCAAATGAATGGAATGCCAGTAAGCACAATGAAAATTAGGAACAGGGAAAGCTGGAGTTGTCAAGGCCATGACTTGAGCAGGATCCTAAACAATGCTAACTCACGCCCAAAACAAAGCCCAATTTCTCTCTGCTGCTATGCCTTGCTGTTTCCCCAGGACGTTACCACCATTCTTTATTCTAAGCAAGTTTTTTTCAGTCTCTTTCATGGCATATGTCATGGCACACAAAGAAAAAGAAAATCGTATACTACCACGAAATAAAAGTACCACAAAGATAAAAATCCTGGTAGCTAACATAACTCTTGAACCACAGTGGGTTGTACCCAATGCTACAATACAATTCAGTTCTTGGGGAACTGCCTAAGAAATCTTACAGAACGTTCATTCTAGCTTGCTTTCCATGTTCAAAAGTTTAATTTAATGTCAGTTTTTGCTATTTTGTACCTTCTGTTCCACAGCCATGAAGTATAGATCTGGAAACCTTTATGGAATCATGAATATGAATTAATCAGGGCAAATAGACTTTTTGTCAGACTCTAGCGTGCCTCAAGCTGAGAAAAGAATAAAAGAAAACCACTACGAAGCACAAAGGATGAGACCAGGACCATCAAAAGTAGCCAGAATTTGCAATTTCGGTGTTAGTATGAACATCAAGACATGCCGCCAGCCTCAGACTCTTCTCACTCTCACTACTTCGGCTGCTAAAAAAGTCATAGCTCTAAACTGTGCTCGAAATAGTATAGTACAGAGCTTTCGCAACACATGTACTTCATGTTACAGAGGTAATCCTGAAGAACTGCCTGTCAACCAAACCATATTTCAAGTACCCTGAAAAAATTTAGTTGACCCAGTGACAAATTCTATAAAAGAATAATTCGAAGTGAGAAATCAGTCCTTAATTTACTTCAATAAACACGTTTTGAGCATCTACTTTTTGCCAAGGTCACACGTCCAAGAAAGACTCATGGAATCCATGGATTCGAATCTTAAAGGTTTACTACCCAGTCCCTTCTTCTGATAGCTGAAATCTCCTCTCCGCCATATAAGTAAGGGTTCTGCCAGTTTCTATTTGAGCGCTTCTAGTAATGGGACGCTCACGAGAAGCAATCCATTGCACTTTTGGCAACTCCAAATGTTGAAAGTTCTCCCTAACGAACACCACGATTTGCGTCTTCCATCAACTAGTTCTAGGTATGTGGCTCAGAATCAAGAACTAGTCTAACTCCTCTTTCTGGGACAGCTGAGGCCCTGACACCTGGCACTGGCTAGCATCTCCCGGCGGGGGCCGCTGCATCCCTAAACGAAAAGCCGAGGCCGAGCAGCAGAGGTGTAGCGAGGAAGGTCCGGGACTGGGGCTCAGGAGGCCCAAATGCGACCGCGGAACGCTCTGTGGTTGCGGATAGACGCTTTGACAAGGCGGCTGGGCGGATTCCCTCCCCGACTAGGGGAGACTCTGAGCCCAGACGCCAGCGGAGTTGACGCGACCCCCCGGACCCCGGCACTCGGCTCGCGGGAGCTAGTCTGGGGACCAGGGAGGCGGGGAGAGGGAAGGGGGAAGCGCCGCCGCGGCCCAAACCTCCAGTAGCCGCAGCCGCAGTCGCCGGGTAGGGCCGAGCAGCCAGCCGGGCCTGGCGCAGCATCAGCGCCCGCTGCCGCTTCCGCTCGATACTCGCCCGCACCGAGGCAGGCAGCTCCCCGGGTTGCTCTGAAGCCGCCGCCTCCGACGAAGCCCCGTCGACCGCCGCCATCTCCGACCCCCTCCGAGGATGTAGCTCGCAGCCCCACGCACAAGCACTGCGCGTCTAGGCGAGTCCACCGCCGTGCACCGCCTCGGCGCTCACCCAGCGGCCTTTCGGAGTGAGAGCGCCTGCGCAGTTAAGGGGACCGAGGTGGCCGGCAGGGTCGCTGGGCGGAGTCTGGGCATGCGCACAGCCAGGAGTACCCACCTACCTACCTGCTCACTTGTCAGCTGGGAGAAGGGTCTGTGCTGATGAGATCATGTCTCAGGACCGGGTCACCTTTAAAGTCTTGCTTGGTGATTCAGAGTATGGGCTTTCGAGTCTGACCTGAGTTAAGTCTGAGCTCTTGACAGTAAAACTCTGTGTGACCTTGGGCAAGTTATTTAACCCGAGTTCAGTTTGTTCGGTGATAAAATGAGGATAATTATGGAACCATTTACTGAGTCGTTGGGAAGATGAGATTGCCAGGACAATACCTGGCATGTAGAAGACCTCAAAAAATGATAACAGTGAGTTGCAGTAGTGCCAGTCATAGAGCCTTGATTTTATGTTGGATACAAGGCCTAGAGACACAGCTTTAGATTTAAAATGAGAAGACCTGGGTTGAAACTTCCACTTAGCTTGCTGGGTGACCTCAGGCAAATGCAGCATTTGGTCCAGGGCTGAAATGCATGAGGTTGGCTATCTTTTCCATGGAACATTCCTTCAGTGAGGATGAGCTGCTGCCAGGTAGACAGTGGGTTTGGATCTAGGGCAAATATCCTGACTTCCCAAAGGTGTGGCCAGTGGAACAAAAGAAAATAGCAGGCTTTCCCAAAAATGTATGCTTTCTCTTCGTTATAAATAATACTTAATTGAAACCAGAAAACATTAACTTCTAATTACTACCTATACCATTTAGGACTGGATTTTAGAAAGACAATCTGACACACTGATGTTTCCCACTCATATTTGATGATTAAAGTTTCAGAAACACAATTCAGTAGTTCTAATCTATCGGCCATATATACATAAAGCTGCAAAACCTTGTGTAAAACAGTTACATGCTGAAATTTTAACCTTGTATAAAGCAGTTACATGCTGAAATCTTCTGATTGAACTGGAGATAGAAATCTCAAGCCATCCCCATCTCCCTTCCCCTCAGATCCTTCTTTCTCCCTATCCATTGATCTTGTCCAGGTGAAAATATTTAAAATTCCATAACACAAAAAGCACAAGCAACAAAAGAAAAAAACACTGCATTTCATTAAAATTAAGAACTAGGCTGAGCACAGTGGCTCATACCTGTAATCTCAACACTAGGAGCCCAAGGCAGGAGAATCACTTGAGGTCAGGAGTTCAAGACAAGCTGAGGCAACATAGTGAGAACCCATCACTATTAAAAAAAAAAAAAAAATTGGCAAGTTGCAGTGGCTAACATCTGTACTCCCAGTACTTTGGGAGGTCAACACAGGAGGATTGCTTGAACCCAGGAGTTCAAGACCAACTTAGGCAATGTAACAAGAACCCATCTTGGGAGGTCAAGGCTGCACTGAGCTGTGATGGCACTACTACACTCCAGCCTGGGCAACACAGTAACAATCTGTCTCAAAAAAAAAATCAAAAACTTTTCTGCATCAAAGAACACCATGAAGAAAATTGGGGGGTGGGGAATCCACACAATGGGAGAAAATATTTGCAAATCAAATATCTAATGAAGGTCTAGTATCCAGAAATTTATAACAAACACTTTCAGCTCAACAACAAAAAGACAAGCAACCCAATTTAAAAATGAGCACGGGACTTAAATGGACATTTTTCCAAAGAGGATATACAGATGGCCAACAAACACATGAAAAGATATTCATTATTAGTAATTAGGAAATGCAAATTAAGGTACAGTCAGATACCACCTCACATCTCCAGACAAGCCTTCCTCCACTGATTTCAGCCCCACCAACAAACCCCCTCTCTCAGTCCCCCTCCCACCGCCATCGCTTTTCCTTCTACTTTAGCTCTGCTCCCCCACCCTCTTATCCTCCATCCCCCCGACTCAGTCTCCAATGCATACTGGGTCTTGCTCCCAACCCCCTTCTGCCAAAGGCCACTCCCATACCCAAAGGTCTTCAAAAATCCTTTCCTTGCTAAAGGTGGCAGGGCCGAAGGCATAGTCCAAGTTCATGTTCCCTTCTCCCTAGCCAACCTCTCCCAGCTTAAAAAGAGACTCGGCTCCTTTTCCACAGACTCCACCTCCTTCTGAAAGGAATTTCTGTGTGCCACTCAATCTTATGACCTTGCCTGGCATGACATTTATGTCATCCTCTCCTCCTCCCTCACCCCAGAGGACAGGGAACCTAACCAGACAGCCACTCAGACCCATGCAAACACCTTCCACCAATAAGATGCTGCCCATAACCCAATAGAGACTCTAGCTGTCCCCAGAACTGACCCCAACTGGGATTATCAGGCAACTTGCTTCCTAGCTGGCATGGATAAAGCTGCCCTAAAGGCTGTTAACTGGTGAGGGCAGAATCTACCTACTCATTTATACTTCATTTTCCAGTCAGCCCCCACTATCTGACAGGAACTTAAAAAACTAGAAAATGGCTCTCAAACCACCCAAAGAGACTTAATCAAAGTGGCCTTTAAGGTCTTTAACACCCACTATGATGGCTAGAATAAAAAAGAAAGGAAGGAAGAAAGGACGGAAGGAAGGAAGGAAGGATGGAAGGAAGGACGGAAGGAAGGAAGGAAGGACGGAAGGAAGGAAGGAAGGAAGGAAGGAAGGAAGGAAGGAGGGAAGAAGGAAAAAGGAAAGAAAGAGAGAGAGAGAGAAGTATTGGCAAAGATGTAAAAAAAATAATTGGAACCCTCATATATTATTAGTGGGAATGTAAACTAGTGCAGCTGCCGTGGAAATGGTTTGACTATTCCTCAAAATATGAAATAAGATTACCATATGAGTCAGTAATTCCACTCATGGGTATATTCCCAAAAGAACTAAAAACAGGTGTGCAAACAAAAACTTGCATGCAAAACGTTCAGGTAGCACTATTCACAATAACCAGAAGCTGGAAACTACCCAACTGCCCATCAACTGATGAATGGATAAATAAAATAGAATATATTCATATAAAAAATATTACTCAGCCATAAAAAAGAATGAAGTGCTGTTACATGCTACAACATGGACAGACTTTGAAAATCTTACATTAAGTGAAAGAAGCCAGACATGAAAGGCCACAGAGAATATGATTCCATTTACATAAAACTTTCAGAATAAGCAAACCCACAGTGACAGAAAGCAGATTAGTAGTTTTCCTGGGCTGAAAGGAAGAGAAAGGGAGGAGTGAGTGCCTAATAGATATGGAGTTTCCTTTTGAGGTGATAAAAATATTCTGGAACTAGATGGTGGCTATGGTTGCATGACACTGTGAATGTACCACGTCACTAATGGTCAACTTTATTTTATGTATATTTTACCACAATTAAAAAAAAAACAACTCAATATCTGTCTAGGCCCAGGTAGGTAATAGAAGTTAATGAACCTAGTTAGTCATGAATCTGAGGCAAACTGGAAAGTGGAGATCCCTCTTAAAGAGGATAGCAACTATGCAAATCCAGCTGGTAGTTTTGAAGAAAGAATTTGGGCCCCTTGTTGCCAGATGTTTCAATCTTCCAAGAAAAGCAAGAATCAGATTTGAATGCATATATAAGTCTCTTGGTAATCTTGTTAAAATGCATATTCTGACTCAGTAGGTCTATGGTAGGACCCAAGAATATGCATTTCTTTTTTTTTTTTAACTTTTATCTTTAGAGTACTATTAAGTTCACAGTAAAACTGAGAGGAAGGTACAAAGATATTCCATATACTCCCTGCTCCCATGCATATATATCCTCCCCCATTATTCACATCCCAATCAGAGTGGTGCATCTGCTACATACAACTGATGAAGCTAAATTGACACATCATCATCCCCCAAAGTCCACAATTTACATTAGGGCTGCTCTTGGAGTTGTACATTCTGAGTTTGAACAAATGTATAATGTCATGTGTCTACCATTACAGTAAAGAATGTGCATTTAAAAAAAAATTTTAGGAGAGCAATTCTCACCTTTTTCAAATATGAAGCATTTTTAACCAATCCATTTATTTAATTCTTAAATTTTTGACATTACAGAACTGAACCGAAATTTATTAACATTCCACTCTTACATTTCTTATCGACGAACAGAAATAAAATTCATAAGCCAAAAAACCCAAAACAAAACTAAAAACAGGGAAAAGCTTATAAAACTAAATATGGATCCCAGCATTAACAGCTGAACAGATAATGCAACTTTTAAATTTTAGTGGATGATAAAGTTGTGTAGAAACTGAATACTTAGAAACTATCTTGAAATGCCATTATCTCTGGTGGTGCTGCGGCACCACAGATCATACCTAGAATGGTAAGGGTCTAGATTGCAGGTTCCCAAACTTGACTGTACCAGAAAGCACCCGGAGTATTTAATAAACACCAATGCTTAGGCCTCACTCCCAGGGATTCTGATGTCCTAGGGTCAGAGTGAGCTCTGAGCCTCAGGATTTTGTAAAGCCCCACAGCCCAACCCCTAGGTCATTCTAATGGGCAGCAAAGTTTGAGAGCCCGCACACTAGATGACCCCTGTGGACTCCACAGCTATAATAATTTCTAAGGCCGTGAAATATTTCCAGAGGACAAGGTAACAGTTTTCCCCAAGGTAACCTTTTGGAAATAATTTGTCCGGAGAACCTCCTCCCCAACAAAGCATTCCAAGCCTCGATGCTGGAGAATGTGACCTACAGCTCAGATGCTGTACAGGCCCTAGATTCTGTAACTCTTGGCAGCTTTTGTAACTATGGTCTTCCTTTGCCCATAACTCTCTCTTCTTCGGCATACTGCCCTTTGTTAGCAAGTTTTGTGTAGTTGGGTCCGCATTGTTAGCTGACACCTTGACCAAGCTAAAACGACTCCTTTGGAGAAAAGAAAAATGCATGCCCTAGGTATAGCCCACAGGGTGGCAGAGGCTGGAGGGCTTGCCCCAAGCAAGGCAGCATGAGTCATTTTTGTCAGGGCACACAAGGAAAACAGGCAAGGAAAACAAGTGGATGTGTTCTTGCCTCTCCCCATTCAGTCTCAGGGAAGCCCGTGACTGCATTTATCTTCCTGCTTTCTACCTCCCTCACCTCCCAACCCAACTGTGGTCCTGGCTCAAAGAAGGATACTTTACAAAGCACAGAAAGAATTGAAAGCCTCAAAAAGAGCAGGAAGATAAGAATGGAAGCCAGAAAGGAGAGTAAAAAACTTGGCAGGGTTTCCTGACAGGGCCTACTCTCTAAGTGCGTTACCCGGGTGACTCATGCCTGAAATGACAGGGTGTGAACGCATTTGTCTTTATTATCTAGTAAATAGTACCTGTGTGTGGCTTTCCTTTTTGTTTTTATTTCTCCCCTGGTTCCCTGGGGCTTTACTTCTTAATGTGGTCACTTTGAACATCCTCGGCATCAATTCACAACAGGGAAACATCTGTGAGAAGAAACACAGCAAGGGGGGACTCTTTCTGGGTGGAGGACACAGCAGCACAGAAGTTAGCCCGATCCTGTTGCCTTAAGCTGTAAACGTTTAGTAATCCAGGAAGCAGTCTCTTTTTTCTCTGATGGGCCAGACAAACCCTCCTTCTGAAGAAACTTAGATTTCAGCCTCCCTGAACCAAAAGAAATGTAAAAACCGGGCAAAAACATCATAGTGGAGCTTCTGTCAACAAATTGTGTGTGCGGAGAGATTTTGAAAACATCTTGAAGACTCACAAGAGTTGTCTTTCCAAAAGCAGCAAGGAGTGGGAGTGTTCGACTGATTCAACTAAGGACAGGGCCATCAGTTCTGGATGCCAAAATCATCACTCACAGACCAGCAAGGGCAGGTCTTCCCACTCTGCATCCCTACATCCTGAATATGCCCCAGAGGTCCCTGGCTTCCCATTGCAGCTTTTTGGAAGCCCAACTCCCTCATCTGGCTCTCTCCAAGCCTCCTCTGTGCTGGTGCTGCGGCACTTAGCACACCAGAAGCAATACCTCCCTGCCATCCTCACTAGCCTTTCAGGTCCTTGAGAGCTAAGGGTGTCTGATTCATCCCAATATCTCCAGGGCTTAGCATGGTATCCAGCACAGAGTAGCTGCTCTGCAAACATTTGTGGAATTAAATAAATTGAATGAATAATACTGAATAAGACTGCTTGCATATCTCTTTAGCACTGACAACTCACAGTCCAAAGCTGAACCCTACAACCACCTCGTCTCTGCTCACGTGCCTTTGGTAATGCGGAACATTCCACTTGAGAACAACCCATTCCATTATTGTCTAGCATTGCCCATTATTTATTGTAATAATAACAATAATAATAGCAAACACTTATATGGTGCTTACTGTAATACTAGGCAGTTTTTAAGCATATTCCCTAGTCTCAGTTTAGAGATGAGACAACTAAAGCACAAAGATGCTAAGCAACTTGTTCAAGATCATACAGCCAATAAGTGACAGAGCTGGGTTCACACGGGCGCAGCCCAACCCCAGCATTAATAGTCTCAACCACCAAATTATAAGTCTCTATATTAGAACAAGTCTCCCTCTTACTTCCTCAACTAGAGATTGTCCTGCATGGGTTAGCACAGAGCTGGGATCAGACCAGGTTCTTGCCAATAACCTATGTGGCTAACCAGGTGGCTTGAAACAGAGAGGGCATCTCTCCCTCAAGCTTAGTCTTCAAGTTATCATTGCCCATCATGGGTAGGACCAAGAGAGGATGAATATGGTCCAGGGTTCACCCATTTTGTGATGAACTCTGATCATAATGGGGTTATGGTCTTGTGGTTTCCTCCTCTCTTATTACCCCCATGGGGGTTTTCCTTTCAATTGCTTTTATAACAAGTGTGGTTGCAGCGTCAAACCACAAACCACTATTCTTATTGGCAAGTGCATCCTCTAACAGGTATAGTTCTGTTAAATAGTGAAATATTTATCAGCAGATGCACTTGTTTTTGTAGTTTTTATAATGCTTGGAAAGGAGCTGAGTGTCTCTGGCCTTAAGTGTCTTTGGCTCCGCTGCCACTGTCCTGGTTTAGCCCCCACCAATTTTTACCTTAACAGCCACTGAACTCTAATCCATCTTCTGCATAGGCTTACAGCTCCATCTTTCTAAAGTACAGCTTTGGTCATGCCATTCCTCTGCTCAAAAATCATTTATTGACTCCCAGTTTTAGATAATTCTAAGTTCCCATTGCCTGGTTCCTGCAGCCCTTTAGCAACTTTTCTTCCATAAACCTTTATCATGAACCGTATGTGTTAGCCAAACTGGACAAGTTTGTATTTTCTAGACCTGTCCTGTACCCATCTGTTTCCATGATTTGCTCATGCTGTTTTCCTACCCTATAAATCTTTTGTTTATACCTTCACTCATTCTTTCATTTGTACATTCATTAAGCAAATTTTACTATGCACGTTCTTCAAGCCAGGTCCTATGCTGAGGACCAGCAATGAAGTAGTCACGGTCCTCCTCTCAAGGAGCTCCAAGTCTAATTTAGACTCCTTCTGGTCACATCCATGATCACCTGCCACAATCTTATCTGAAAGGATACGATTTCCCTCTTCCTGAAGCCTTTTTCCCGATGTTTCAGCTGGGAGTAATCTTTTCCCTCCTCTGAGGCTTATCCCTAGCCCCTCACCCCCATCTTCTAAGGACCCCCATTTTCCAACCTGGCATCTTGTATTATAATGATGCTGTTGCTTATTTCCCCTAGATGATACAAGATGCACTTGGTTTCCTGAGGCAGAATTCCTTTGCATCCAGGGACCAGCAGAGGAGCTGGCCCACAGTGGACTCATATCCAGCCAATGCTGCTGACTGACACTGCATCCACCACTGGTGAGAACACAACTAGAGAGATTACACAAGGCACTCATAAAAGGTAGGGTCTCCCAGCTTTGCTGAGATATAAGTCACATGCCATACAAATTACCCATTTAAAGTGCACGATTCAATTATTTTCAGGATATTCACAGAGTTGCGCAACCATCACCACAATCAATTTTAGAACATGTTCATCACCCCAGAGACAAACCTCATACCCATTAGCAGTCAATCCCCCGTTTCCCCTCAAGCCATCTCAGCCCAAGGCAACCATTCATCTGCTTTCTGTCTCTACAGACAGACATTTGACTATTCTGGACTTTTCACATAAATGGAATCACACAATACATGGCCTTTTGTGTCTGGCTTCTTTCACTTAGCATAATGTTTTCAGGATTCAAATGCATTATACGATATTTTGATTTTTTATTGACAAGCAACATTCCATTGCATGGATGTACCACATTTTATTTATCCATTCCTCCACTGATGGACACCGAGTTGTTTTAACTTTTTGGTTATTCTGAATAACGCTGCTGTTAATATCTAAGTTCTATGTGGATGTAAATTATCATCTTAGATGTGGACGTCTAAGTTTTTATGTGGATGTCTATTATCATTTTAATTGGATATAGAACTTAAAGTGGAATTGCTAGGGAATACTTAACATTCTGAGGAATTGTCAGACTATTTTCCAAGGTATCTGCACTATTTTAAATTCCCAACTGCAGTATATGAGGGTTCCAATTTCTCCACATTTTTGCCAACACTTACCTTTTTTATTATAGCCATTCCAGTGGGTAAGAAGTAGTATCTCATGGTGGTTTGTTTGCATTTCCCTAACGATTAATGATGTTGAGCATCTTTTGGGGTGTGTATTGACCATCGGTATTTCTTATTTAGAGAAATGTATGTTCAAATCCTTTGTTCACTTTTAAATTAATTTATTTGCCTTTTGATTATTGAATTGTAAGTGTTCTTTACATAGTCTATGTATCCCAGAGTTTTAAATTGTTTTCTTTATGCTTTCTCTATTTTCTAAATTTTCTACAATGACTATGAGGTATCTTGATAGCAGAATGCATAACTAATATATACCAACATATATAAAAATGTATAAATTGTCTTAATCAAATTTATGAATGATATAGAACTGGAAAAGATGACTAATGTGTCTTGACAAAATCAAGATCCATTCTTGGAGGAATGGGGCAATAAGTGAAATATAAATTCCTCACTTCAGTTTAACAATTCTGTAAGGGTGTGATATGGTTTGGCTGTCCCCATCCAAATCTCATCTTGAACTGTAGCTCCCATAATCCCCACCTGTCATGGAAGAAACCTGGTGGGAGGTAATTGAATCTTAGGGACAGGTTTTATCCAGCTGTTCTCATGATAGTGAATAAGTCTCATGAGATATGATGGTTTTATGAAGGTCAGTTCCCCTGCACACACTCTCTTGGCTGCTGCCATGTAAGAGTGCCAATGCTCCTCCTTTGCTTTCTGTCATGATTGTGAGGCCTCCCCAGCCATGTGAAACTGTGAGTCCATTAAACGTCTTTTATCTTTATAAATTACCCAGTCTCAGGTATTTCTTTATAGCAGTGTGAGAATGGAGTAATACAGGGCATTTGAGAAAAGGGTGTTTTTCTGCATGTGTGGGAAATGGCCTTAGATGACCTCCAGGACAATATTCAACCTTCAATGTCTATTATTTTCATGTTAGGTAGGTATAGCTCACTCTTGAGAAGTGCTCATAAAATGATCCAACAGACCTTGGTCCTACAAACTAAGTAGGAACCAACAGTGTGACATGGCTTCTAAAAAAAGATGGTGTGACTGGAGAGGACAAGAACAAAAGTAGTGCCTGAAGTGAGGGAGGTGTTTGTCCCACCGTTTGGGGATGCTCAAACCATATCTGGAGTTTGTGTTCAGTTCTAGACATCATCAGGCAATCAGAGAGTTGTCTATATGGCCAGGATGCAGAAGGAAGAGCTAAGAAACCCTATCACAGGAAGAAAGTGCAGATTCATGACCAGGCACCAGATCTCCAAAGGGTTCCCCTGGAACAGAGGGCATAGATGTGGTCTGCCAGGCATTTATGCTCTCACTTACCTGGACATTCACAGCGGTCTGCCTGGGCAGGCTTTCTTCTCTTCTCAGACCACTAGACCCAGGACTGCTCCATGGCCCCCCATCACTCAGAAGCTAAAGACGGCAGCAACAGGGTGAGAATCTGACTTAAGGTTCACACTGCAGAGACAAGAAGGTGTCAAAGACTCTACTGGCTAGCAAACTCAGCGTGCTGTGGAGTTCAGCTGTTAATAAAAGCAAGTTGCATGTTTATCTTTAAAATGGAAAGAAATTTCTTTATTTCTGCAGAGAAATACATTATATTCTATTTTTCTTTTTCCTCCTGTTAAAATTTCTCTTTTCACTTGAAAAATCTTCAGGCCAGGCATGGTGGCTCATGTCTATAATTCCAGCACTTTGGGAGTCTGAGGTGGGAGGATCCCTTGAGCCCAGGAGTTCAAGATCAGCCTGGGCAACATAGGGAGACCCTGTCTCTAGAAAAAAATATTTTAAAATTTAAAAATTAGCCAGATGTGGTGGCATGTGCCTGTAGTCCCAGCAACTTTATTTGTTTTTACAATAAGAAAAACAACAGGAGAGGCAGCAGTGACAGGCTGCAGCAGGCCCAGTGAGGCCAAGTCTCCCACTCAGTTAAAGAGGAGTTCGAAATCTGGATTTTAAAGTGAAATCTTCCAATTTCTGAATGTTTAGGGCGATGTTTAAAAACACACACAGGCTCAAAATCCCTCTCAACAACTCTGTTGAGATCTTCTGAACTTGCTTACACATCCCTGGGATGGGGAGCTCACCCCCATGGGAGCAGCCTTCTCTAACTGTGGACTGCTCTGACCCATAGAAATGGATTCCTCAAATTAAGTTGGAATCAATCTCTTTATAGTACAACTGCAAAACCACCCCTGACCTGCACAGCCTCTGCCATTAGTCCTCACCCTAGTGTCTAGGCCACTCCATTCATTCGCTCACACATTCATTCCTGGGGCTCAGTTGCATAGCATCATTGAATCAAGTGAATCAAATGTGTATTCTTCATCTCTGAGTCCCTTGGAGCCTCTTTCCCACATACACCTGAAAACAGAGAGAAGCCCAGAGACACCCTAGGTCCCCTCTCAGTTCCCCTTCTGGAGAAAGGCTGCAGCAGGGAAGAAGTTTCCTTAGGCACTTTGTATGCCACTTTCCTTCTGGGCAGCAGCCTGACACAGTGATCAGCAAGCATGGGTTTTACGGGACTTGTGGCCCTGAGCAAGCCACTGATGTCCTAGCCTAGGCCTGCCCATGTGTTCAGGAGGAGTGCTGACACAGAGGGGCGGCAGAAACATGGCTGAGTTTGCATCCAAGCTCAGTCAACTTGAGAAGATTATTTAATATCTATGAGCCTCAATTTCATCCTCTATAAAACTGAGAGAAAACTGCGACTCCCCAGGCCTGTTCTCTGGATTCAAAATTAGAAATAAAGGTGCACAGGTGCATGTTGAATGTCCTACTCAGTAGATGCCCAGGAAGAGGGGCAGTGAGTGTCATTGTTACTGATAGCCAGTAGAGGGCACTAAACTATTCTGTAATGAAAGCGGCTTCAGGTGTCCTGGCCACAAATGTAATAAAGCCTTTATAACCCAGGCTGCAGAAAGTTCCCCAAGTATGCAGGTTTCACACACACACACACACACACACACACACACACACACACACACACACCTTTTTTATTGGACAGTTAGAAATGACACTACATTGCACCTTGGGGGTGAAGATGACATTAGCAAAAGCAGCTTGGAGTAGTGGAAAGGATTCTCCAAAGTGGAAGGCTTGCAGGATGTGGGTTCTTGCCCTTGCCCTAGTCCTTGTGCTGTGTGAGCTTGGGCAAGTCACGGCCTGTGTCTGGACCCCATCTTGTAGCCTGAGAGGGTTGGACCAGGAGATCTCTAAGGGACCCTCCAGCTGTCTATGATTAAGATTCTGGGACAAATAAATGCCATGAGGCAGCAGTTCGGGGGACTGGATAGGGGGACTTGGACTAAATGACCTCTGGATGCCCTCACTGGGGCTGGGGCTTGATGATTTGTACACAGTCAAGGGAAGCCACATACAGGCTAATCTTGGCCTCACAAAGGAGTGCGGTTAGAGTTGTTGGGTGGTGGCAATGTTTTCCTGAAGCGTACATGATGTTTATCATCTTTGTACAGGCTGATGCTGAAGCCACGAAGACCACCCAGCCTGACAAAGAAAGGAATTCTTGTCTGCGTTGACAGGCCTCAGGTTGATGGCTTTCCATTTGCCCCTGAGGCTGTCACTCGCAAAACAATGGCAACAAGCAGGGTGGCTCTCACCTGAGACTGCTGCCGCCAGAGGAGGGGGCAGGCCAGAATGGAAGGCGGGGGTGTTGTCTCTCCTCCCAGGATAGGAAGGTTGTAGGATCACCCCTTCCTACAGCAGACATGCTGGGAGAGTCTGTGGAAGATTATTTTCGTGTGGATGGTGTCTCATTCTGTATATCAGAAAGCAAGTAGTTAAGATGTCACTCTTCATTAAAAAATTACAATAAACTATGGATACACATGAAAACACAAATAAATCTCAAAAGCATTATATTGAGCAAAAGAAGCCATACAGAAAAAGAATACAGACTATATAATTTCTATTTCTTCAAAGCAGGCGAAACTAAGCTACAGTGATAGAAATTAGGTCAATGGTTGCCTCCTTAGGCAAGGGGAGGGTTGACTACAAAGGCAGAGAAGGAACTTTCTAGGGGACGAAAACATTCTGGGTCTTGACGGAGTGATGACATGGTATATATACCTTTGTAACTCATTGAATCATGCACTTAAAATCAGTGTATTTTACTGCTTGCAAATTATACCTCGATAACATTGATAAAAACTGCATTACAAAAAAGTTATAATTACTTTTCTCATTCTCAAAAGAAATACATCTTCATACTAGAAGACTGAGAAAATCAGATTTTAAAAAAACTACCCAGGCACGATGCCTCATACTGGTAACCCCAGCACTAGAGGTGGGAGGATTGCTTGAGCCTGGGAGTTCGAGACCAGGCTGGGCAACACGGCAAGACCCCCAACCCATCTCTACAAAAAAAAATTAAAAATCAGTTGGGTGCAATGGTGTGCACCTCTAGTCTCAGCTACTCAGGAGGTTGAGGTGGGAGAATTCTTTGAGCTCAGGAGTTCCAGGCTGCAGTGAGCTGTGATGATGCCACTGCATTCCAGCCTGGGTGACAAAGCTAGACCCTGTCTCAAAAATAAGCAAGTAAATTAAAATAAAATAATTCATAATCTTATTACCCAGAAGTAAACATCGTTGTCATTTTATATTGATAGTGCCAGTCCTTTATTTTCACAAAATGAGTTTATACAGTTTTATAATCTGATTTATTTATGCATTGAATTGGCAATACATATACACAGTTAAAACTTCAAAAGGCACAAAAGAGCATAAAGCAAGCTTGTCCATCCCATGGCCCACAGCCTGGGATAGTTTTAAATGCAGCGCAGCACAAATTCATAAACTTTCTTTAAACATTATGAATGTTTTTTGTAATTTTTTTTAGCTCACCAGCTATTGTTAGTATTACTGTATTTTATGTGTGGCCCAAGACAATTATTCTTCCAATGTGGCCCAGGGAAGCCAAAAGATTGGACACCCTTGGCATAAAGTAAAAAATAAACATCTCTCCCACTCTCACTCTCCAGAAGTAACAACTTCCATCAACTGCTTGTATATCCTTCTAAAAATATGGCATGTACTGAAAAGCACATATGAATGATGATCTTGAAGGGGAGTAGGTGGAAGCATGCTATACACAAATCTGTATTTTAATATAACACGACAACATGAATCTCTTTCAATGCCATTAAAATGTTTCTATGTCATTTTTAAGCAGACTTTTGATTAAAGTAGAACATGAAAGCAGAAACATGCAAAAAATTGTAAGTGTAAATCTCACAATGCCTTCACATATTGACTCTGCTTTTATATTCACCACCTAGATAAAATACAAAAACATTACCAGCATCCCCCAAAATCTTTTGGATCCTCTCCAAGTTACTGTCACCTCTCACCCCAAAAATAACATAATTCTGACTTCTGATTTCTAAAAGTTGTCTTGTCTGGTTTTTGAACTATATGGTAGAATTATTATATAGTATTTATTTTTGTCTATATTTTTTCACTCAACAGTGTATGAATGAGATTCATTCATCTTGTTGCACATAGCTATAGTTCATTCACTCATTGACATATGTAGTATTCTTTTGTATAAATATATCACAATTTACTTATTCATTCACTGTTGATGGACATGTGGGCTGTTTCCAGGTTTCAGCTATTTCATCTGCTATGAACATTCTTTAGATGTCTTTTGGTGAACATAGGTGTACACTGATGTTACCTACCTGCTCAGGAGTGCAATTTCCAGATCATAATGTTCAGTTTTAGTGGAAAATGCTGATAGTCTCCAAAGTGGTTGCACCAATTTACATTCTCACCAGCAGTGTATGAAAGTTCCAATTGCTCTACATCTTTAACTGACGCATCAATTTTGATATCTACACAGCATTCCACTATATGGATACACCATACTTCCTTTGATCAGATTCCTATGGAAGGAATTCTTTGCCACAGCCCTCTGGCACTCTGATGAAACCTGAGGACTCTGTCTCAAAACGCAATATAGTAAAATGTGGGCTTTATCATTAACACACTAAACAACACCATCTAGTAGCCGGTCTAAAAACCAAACAATTCCAAAATTTCAAAATGAGCATCAACATAAAAATATGTTTATTGGCCTTTTGTGCTGCTCCTCCTACACAAAATCATTTTCTTTGTCTATACACTTTATTGGCAAAAGTCAATGCATATTCTTAACTTTGGCCAATTTTTAATGACTCGTATATATTTAAATTTGTATATAAGCACTCCTTATATGTTATGGATATGAACCATCGCTATGAAATGTTACAACTGTTTTCATTTGTCAGCTGCTTTGCCATTTTGTGGTCTTTAGAATGAATGGAAGTCCTATGTTTAGTGTGATGAGAAGATTGGCTAAATAAGTGATAAAGGAAATAGTGGAGGCTGTTTTATCCTGACAGCAGTCCTGGAGGTTAGACAGGTCCTAGGGCTCATTATCTCCATTTTACAGAGAAAAAACAGAGCCCCAAGAGAGTAAATGCTGAAATCATAAGGCTAGGACGTGTTAGAGTTGCATCTCAACAGTCCTTAACTCCTGACTCAAAGCCTTGAAAACCCCTGTTCACCAGGGAAAGGAAGTCAAAGGTCCAGGGTGTGTACACAGACAGCCCTTGAAAGGAATGTGGGGTTTTGTGGTTTGGGTTTTTCCTCCCCTTTCTAAGCACGCTTCGCATGCCAGCAAAGGGTGTGCATTTGTGTGTTGGGGGGTAGGAGGAGGTGCAGGGTTGCATGTCATTCCTCAGTCTTTTCATAAAGGAGGTCAAAGCATGGAACTTGTGATGAAGCTCAAAAGTCTCTGCAGGTTTTCTGGTGGTGTGCACCTGCAGCACTCCTGCAAGGGAGTGACTTGAATGAGACTCACCCCAACAATGAGAACTAGGCTTTAGTTCCATGTCATATGAATCACTAAATGGTTTATTGCAACCCATACATAAGCTTCAAATTTATAAATACCCCCTTTGTTTTTTATTTTTATTTATTTATTTACTTATTTATTTTTGAGAGGGAGGGTCGCTCTTTTTGCCCAGGATGAAGTGTAATGGTGTGATCTCAGCTCACTGCAACCTCTGCCTCCCAGGTTCAAGCGATTCTCCTGCCTTGGCTTCCCGAGTAGCTGGGATTACAGGCGCCTGGCTATATTTTTGTATTTTTAGTAGAGACAGGGTTTCACCATGTTGGCCAAGCTGATCTTAAACTCCTCACCTCAGGTAATCCACCGGCCTCGGCCTCCCAAAGTGCTGAAATTACAGTCGTGAGCCACTGCACCCAGCAAAATATCTCCTTTGTGACCACAAAGATAGACAAACTCTGCTTCATGGCCTCAAAACTAAAACTGAAGAGATTTTAAATTTTTTTTACATGCCTATGACACTGCATATCCCAATGAGAAGTCTTCTTTGTGGAAGATCTCTATTTCATTTCATTTCATTTTTGTTTCTTTCTTTTTTTTTTTTTAATTTCATTTTTGAGGCAAGGTCTTGGTCTAACATGCAGGCTGGAGTCCAGAGGGTTGGTTGATTTCAGCTCACTGCATCCTCAAACTCCTGGGCTCAAGTGACCCTCCCACCTCAGCTTCCCAAGTAGCTGGGACTACAGGATTGCATGTGCCACCACACCCAGCTAATTTTTTTTTTTGAGACGAAGTTTCGCTCTTGTTACCCAGGCTGGAGTGCAATGGTGCGATCTTGGCTCACCGCAACCTCCGCCCCCTGGGTTCAGGCAATTCTCCTGCCTCAGCCTCCTGAGTAGCTGGGATTACCAGGCACGCGCCACCGTGCCCAGCTAATTTTTTGTAATTTTTAGTAGAGATGGGGTTTCACCATGTTGACCAGGATGGTCTCGATCTGTTGACCTCGTGATTCACCTGCCTTGGCCTCCCAAAGTGCTGGGATTACAGGCTTGAGCCACCGCGCCCGGCCTAATTTTTTTTTTTTTTTTTTTTTTGTAGAGACAGGGTCTCGCTATGTTTCCCAGGCTGGTCTCAAACTCCTGTGTTCAAGCAATCCTCCCACTTTGGCCTCACAAATTGTTTGGAATATGAGCCACCATGGCCAGCCTAAGATTTTTTAAAATGACTTTCTGGACAAATGCTATGGGCACATGCTATATATTACACACCCCTTTTGGAGATTCACAATGAAAATTAATATATTTGAGGCTCCAAAAAGCCATGCAAAGATGAGCCTGTTAAATACCCAGATATAGCATTTACCTGGCATCTCTGACCACTGACCCTCTTCTCAGGTAACATCTAAGACCTCTTACTAAATAATGGTCCCATGGAATTTAATTTTGTACCACTGCTCTACAACATACATTTTTTTTTTTTTAGACGGAGTCTCAATCTGTCTCCCAGGCTAGAGTGCAGTGGCACAATCTCGGTTCACTGCAACCTCCACTTCCTGGGTTCAAGCAATTCTCCTGTCTCAGCCTCCTGACTAGCTGAGCTTACAGGCATGTGCCACCACACCCAGCTAATTTTTGTATTTTTAGTAGAGATGGGGTCTCACCATTTTGGCCAGGCTGGTCTCGAACTCCTGACCTCAGATGATCCACCCACCTCAGCCTCCCAAAGTGTTGGGATTATAGGTGTGAGCCACTGTGCCCGGCCAGAACATACATCTCTATTATGTATGTTTACTAGTAACAACTGCAATATTTTAAAACATTAACACGTCCCTTCATTAATTCCAATTTATGACTTTTGAGCAATGTTGACAGTGGTTTTGAGCCTAAATAGATACAGGTTAAATTCTGAGGCTGAGCACAGTGGCTCATGCCTGTAATCCCAGCACTTTGGGAGACCAAGACAGGAGGATTGCTTGAGCCCAGGAGTTTGAGACCATCATAGCAAGACCCCATCTCTACAAAAAAAAAAAAAAATTAGCCTATGGTTCCAGCTACTTGGGAGGCTGAACCAGGAGAATCATTTGAGCCCATGAGGTGGAGGCTGCAGTGAGTCAGCTTAGTGACACTGCTCTCCAACCTGAGCAACAGAGAAAGACCTTGTCTCAAAAAACAAAAAACCAAGAAGAAACATTCTAGTACAACAAACCCCAAGAGGTTGCCTACATTCTTTTACATGTGTGCTGTGCTTTTAAATGTATCATATATTCCTTACTATAGGTGTACTATTTTCAGAAGTGGATTTTTAAACCATACAGATATTTTTAATGTGTAAGAAATTTATTATAATATACTTACACTGTGCTGCACCTTTTGAGTGACTCAGACTTGACATCTTTGTTAATATTCATAAAACATCTTTCAAATTTTTTAGTATTAATAGTATCATTAATTTTTATTGAAGTTGTATACATAATTCTCATAAAAATATATAAATGAATTGTCCCTTTGGGGCCTTAAAATATTTCTGAATAGAATATTTTTTTTATAGAAGAGCAATTGATGAACACTTAGGTTATTTAGAAAATATAGAAAAGCAGAAAAAGTTGATTATTCTCCCAAATACAATCACAATTAACATTTTCATCAAGTCTTTTCTTCTATGTGTATACAGATTTTACATAGTTGAAATCTGGGCCCTCCATTTAACAAGAGGATTAGCATTTGTTTTCATATTCAATAAGTGTATAAATGAAGAAAGAAAACACTTTAAGGTAAGACTTTCTGCCTTCCGAGAGATGGTGGTGGTTTCAAATATGTGAGACCCAGAGGAAGAATGAAGATGTTTCTTCTAGAAGACAGAGGATGGGCTGTCCTGAATGATGGCCCCGAGCATCAGCTAATCCCCCCCACCCGATTACAGCTAGGTCCATCTGGGTCCCCCTGCAAACTCTTCCCATCCCAGGTACTGGGACCACCTCTTCACTCAGTCAGACAAAAATCTAAGGACCAACATTAGGAGGGATGGGTGATTTTGACCTTCCTATAACAGAGAAAATCCAAATAAACAGTCTTCTCTGAACCACCAAGTTTTGCTTTTCTTTTTCTCTCAAGTTGGTAATAACATGAACAATTACACCTTACCTTAGAGCTTAAACTGATGGTTGAATAGATGGTGGGCCTGATGAGAAGCTTTTATAGATGAGGTAGTTGAGACTCAGGGGGCTTCTGTAACTTGGCCAAGATTCCCTTTTAGCTGGTAAGTGACAGCTCAGAATCCAAGCTGTGGTCTTTGGAGTCCAAATCTCTGGCCTTCCCCCATTCTGTGAAGATCTGCACCCTGTCTTTCAGGCAGGCATAAGACACTGTAAAATGTCAAACAAAAGTTCAGCTATCTTTGGTTGTGTGGAGATGGAAAATATTTCAATCCAACAGAATTAATAGGCTTTTTTGAAATCCTTCTAATTCCTCAGTCAACTCATCTGAGCCCTAGCTCTGGGCCCTTGATTGCTGGGGTTTCAGCTGTGGCTGACAGGTGCATACTTTCTGAGCAGAAAACACGTAGGGCTGGGAAGTGGCATGGGTTTCATAATGGCCACAGGTGTTCCAGTCTGCCTTTCTGCTTCACCTTTTTTACACTTTACCAGACAGCAAGGACAGGTTGATGAAGACTGGTTTGCCCTTCTGAGGTTTTACATGACTGGAAGGATTTGTTAGGCAGCTGGCATTTTCCTGCCGTGTTTCTCCTGGGAAAACAGGACTCTCAAACACAGTGCCAAAACTTTGAATCTGGACATTCTGGCCTAACACTGAGTAAGGAAAGGCTAAAAAACAACAACAAAATTAGGGTGAAATACAAAGTGCATGACAACCAAGCCAAGTGTGAGATTAGGACTGCAATTTGCTGGTAACAGCTGGAGCACACATAAGAGAAAAACCAAATTGTTTCCCTCCCTCTCTCCCTCCCTTCTTTCTTTCCTTCCTTCCTTCCTTCTTCCTTCCTTCCTTCTTTCTCTCTTTTTTACAGGGTCTTGCTCTGTCACCCAGGTTGGAGTGCAGTGGTGTGATTTTGGCTCACTGCAACCTCTGCCTCTTGGGTTCATGCGATTCTCGTCTTGAAGCTGGGACTACAGGTGCCCACCACCATGTTCAGCTAACTTTTTGTATTTTTAGTAGAGATGGGGTTCACCATGTCGGCCAGGTTGGTCTTGAACTCCTGACCTCAAGTGATCTGGCCTTTTTGGACTCCTAAACAAAATTCACCATGAAATGCATGCCCTTTGCCATTTGGCATCATTACAAATAAACAGATTCCCAAGTCAGAGGCTAATAGGGCCCCAAATTGAACCTCTCAACCTTCTCTTCTAATTCCTCAAATTGTCTTGAAACACTGGGCTGGAAGACATGTCCTTTCCCAGTCTGGGTCTCAATTTCTTTGTCTATAAAATGAGAGTTTGAACACATGACCACTACGGATACTTCCAGTATAGTTTCTATTCCTTTTATGTCAATTCAGCTTAAGAATCAGTACTGGGCTGGGCACTGTGGCTCATGACTGTAATCCCAGTATTTTAGGACACTGAGGGAAGAGGATCACTTGAAGCCAAGGGTTCAAGACCAGCCTGGGCAACAAAGCAGGACCCTGTCTCAAAAGAAAAGAAAGAAAGGAAAGGAAGGAAGAACTGAACACTGAGCATGTATCCTCTTGCAGATCTCGTTCCTGGCTCTGACAGTGCATAAGATGAACGTTTCCTGCCTGCAAGAGCCCTCTGGTCACCAGGGGAGGAGGTGGCCAGTGAGAAGCTGGCACTACAGAGCCAACCTGGCAGATTGTGAAGGAGATATGTGGTGCTGAGGGAGTTAGGGAAGTAGAGATTCTGCCTGGAAAAAAGATGAGGAAAGGCATCATGGAAGAAGTGTCATTGAGCTGGGCCTTAAGGATGAGAAAGATGTAAACACGTGTTGATGAGGAGGAAAGGGATTCTAGCCAGAGGAAGAGCGTGAGCAAGGTAGGGAAGCAGAAAAGAGAAAGCAAGTCCATGTTATCATGAGAGGAACACACCAGAAACTTAAGGCCTGAGCAGGGGATCATGAAAGATTAGAAGTCTTTGAATGCCAAAGCAAGTGGGGTGTAAAGCATTTTGTTGGTACCAAAAGCCCCTGAAGGCCTAAAAAAACAGGATGTAATGCCATCAGAACTGTGCTTTAGGGGTATTAATCTGGTGAAATGGACAAATTGGTTTTCCTAAAGGCCCCCCAGGGGGAAAACAAAGGAACTGAGATTAGAAAACACCTCTGGTTGACTCCCAAGCTTAAGCACATAACCCTTCAAGAAGGCCACAGAGGCCAGACACGGTGGCTCACGCCTGTAATCCCAGCACTTTGGGAGGTCAACACAGGCGGATCACCTGAGGTCAGGAGTTTGAGACCAGCCTGGCCAACATGGTGAAACCCCATCTCAACTAAAAATGCAAAAAATGAGCCGGGCGTGGTGGCATGTGCCTGTAATCCCAGCTACTCGGGAGGCTGAGGCAGAAGAATTGCTTGAATCCAGGAGGCAGAGTCTGCAGTGAGCCAAGACCGCACCACTGCACTCTAGCCTGGGCAACAGAGCAAGACTCCATCTCAAAATAAATAAATAAATAAAAATAAAAGAAGGCCAGAGAAACACTCTAGATGAGATTCAAAATGACAATTGCTGTTTTTAGACACAAGTGTCCTATCCAAAGGAATACGGTGAGGGAGACAAACAACATTGAGCAGGGAAGGGGTAGAGATTCACCTGCTAATTTCTAGTGTAGTGGGTTGGATGCTAGCCTCAAAAGCTGCATCCACATCCTAATTTCTCCTACCTGTGACTATTATCTTATATAGCAAAAGAGTAGTTATTCCCTTATAAGACAAAAATGTGGTTAAGGATCTTGAGAGGCAGCGCTTATTCTGGATTCTGTGGGTGGTCTTATAAGCAATCACATGTGACTCTATAAGACAGACTCACAGAGAACAGGAAGAAGAAGCAATGTGATCACAGAGGTTGGAGTGATGTGGCCACAAACCAAGGAATGCCTGAAGCCATCAGAAGCTGGAAGAGGCAAGGGACAGACTCTCCCCTGGAGCCTCAGGAAGGAGTAGGGCCCTCTTAACACCTTGATTTCAGACTTCTGGCCTCTAGAACTGTGAGAGAATAAATTCCTGTAGTTTGAAGCTACCCAGACAGTGGCAATTGGTTATAGTTAACACCAGAAACTAATATACTAGATTATCTTTTGTTAAATTTAATTAATTCCAACCTGGGCAACATGGCAAAACCTCATTTCTACAAACAATACAAAAAATTAGCCAGGCATGGTGGCGTGCCCCTGTAGTTCCAGCTGCCTGGGATGCTGAGGTGGGAAGATCTCCTGAACCCAGGAGATCAAGGCTGCAGTGAGCTGTGATCACTGCACGGGTGACAGAGTGAGATCCTGTTTCAAAAAACAAATCAAATAAAAATTAATTCATTCGTTTGAATAGGTAATACATGCCTATGGCTCAAAATTTTACCAGTGTAAAGGATTTATGCTGAAGAAGAGAGCTCCCTCCTTTCCATGTCCAGGAGCAATCTAGGTTTCCACCCCGGAGGTATCCAACATCACTTGTTCAAATGTCTATTTAATCTTTTGCGTGTGACTACCAAATTTTGCAAAGTATCCCAAAATAATCTGGAAGGCAGCATGTGGTCATGGGGTAATGGAAAGAGACCTTGTCCTTGCAGACAGTCAGACCTGGGTTCAAATTCCATCCCAGTTCCAACACACAGAGACTCTGGGCAAGCTCCCCAAGCTCAGAGGACCTTGCTTCCTCCACTGTAAAATGGGGATGATGAGGTTTGCCACCTCTAGGGCTGCTGTGAGGAGTACATGAGATGACTTGGGTGCCGCTCACAACGGGTGACCAGTGTGCAGCGGTGCAGGGAGTTCCCAACTTTTGAACTCACGTCTCTGCTGCCCATGTGGTCTGTGGGGGGTGCTTCTCAGCTCAGGCATTTCTCTGCTTGGACTCAGTCAGCTTGCCCTTTGCTGACCTGCCTAAGAGACACAGCTGCATTCTTGCCATTCCCGGGTTATTTCTGACTGGCTGTCTGTGGTATCTTTTTTAGGTGTTGATGGAAATCAAGGTTACATAACATCAATAAGCCAACTTTGAAACCCCTAAAGAGAGAGGAGTGAGCATCCCGAGGGAAGCAGATGAGCCTGGGCTGCAGAGATGGAACTCTGGGCCTTTGTCCGTGCTGTTCTTCACCCACAATGCCTTCTGTCCCCAGCACAAAAATTCCCACAGCAGCCATGCAATGGCGTCTTCAATGTAATAGGAAAAATACAGGAGTTAGAGGATTCGAATCCACTTATCACACTGCCACCTTGGCCAGGATTCTTTTCCTCAATGAGCTTCAGTTTTCTTTATCTGTAAAATGAAGACAGTGTTCTTTTCCCTACCTATCTCAGAGTTGTCATGTGCGTTACAAGGGAAGAATCAGGAACCAATTTAGACATGACCTACTTTACTCCTTATTTTACAGACAAGGAACCTGAAAACCCAGAGAAAGTAAGTTACCTGCCCGAGATTACCCAGCAAATCAGTAGCTGAGCTGTGGCTGGAACTCAGCCTTCGGGAGAGACCCCTTTTATCAGGCTGGTGAGATGTATACAATAAACCATAAAATACTATGTCAATGTCATCTGAGATTACCTGTCTTAAAGATGCCTAGACTTCAATCTATTTGACTGTTTCCTTTCATAAAGTTTGTTCAAGGTGAATGAAGCCCCAAGCCTATGCTTTTCAGCCTTCGAAGGAAGCCTATAGTGTATTTGAATTATCTTTGCAACTGTGGGCCTCTGGTCCTCATTCCCTCATGGCCACTGGCTGCTCAAGACAGTAGTGACTCTGCCTGCCCCTCGATCAGGAATGCAGGGAATTAGCCTCATGCATAAGGCCACTTGACCTTCTGCAGGGTGACATGGTGATGAGGACAGGCGGGGGGACCTTTTAGTGGCAAATGGTTCTTCCCTGAATTGGGTAAACATTCTTGAAATGTACACATCACTCTCAAATATTTGTCTCCCTGACTTGTACTTTTTTCTTTCTAAGTTGTAAGGAACTAGAAAACAACCTGGGAGGTTTCCAATCAATGTATACCACAATCAGAAATAAAATGTCTTCTTTCTCCTTTCCTATCATTAAAAATAAAACCACGGAGTATATCACCTTAAGGAACAAGGCCATTGTCATTGTGTGGAGAAAAGTGGTGTTTGAAATAGCAGCTACAGGCAGAGAGGAGGTTCGGTAACCTTACTCTAAACAGCTAGACACCCAAATCTCTATTT